GGCAAGAAAGGCTCCCACAGAGCCAAGCTGGCTCCTTCGGGAATCCCGCCGAAAAAGCATCTACTGCCCCTCACCGGCAGACATTTCTGCCCAGCCTGGTGCAGCTCTGTGTGCCACACGGCCGTGGAAACCATGAAAGGTGCACCGGAACGGAGTTCAGACATCCCCCCAGCCAGGACGCTGGCACGGCAGAGGTGGAGGAATAATGTGGCTTTCCAGCCAACGCAGAGCCCTCAGGGTGAAAGGGATGTTCCACTCATTGCATTGCCTATGGGTCTCAGCCTGAAAGCACTTACCACCAAGCAGCATGCTTACACCCCACAGGAGGCGGTATGGGGCTGGGCTGGGGGTCAGGTGGTGTTACCGAGCTGCCGTGTGATGTTCAGCGTCCTCCCTCCTGTTTCCCAATTTCCATTGCAATCTCTGTGGGGCAGGGACTGTTTCTTAGGATGTGTCCATTCAGCACCTAGCATACTGGGGCCCCGAGCACGGCACCATGCTCCTCTGGGGTTTAAATCACAACGCGGCATCTAGCTCATCAACCCAGACCCAGTGATGCCACGGTGCCAACCAGCTCTGCTCACGACCCAGTTCATCGGTACCACGGGCCAGCTCACTGCCCTGCGGCCCCACTCTCCCCTTGGCTGCTGCACAGAGGGAGCAGAGGCCTCGGTGCTGAAGTGTATTATCTCCCCGCCAGGCCTGTGCAGAGGGGAGAGCAAGTGGTTCATTTCCATTCACCACCCTTATCAGCTGCAACCTTTTATTTGCACAAGGGCCGACTGCCCTCCTTCTAGGGAAACAGGCCGTGTTGGTGTCACTCCAGGCACATGGACAGAAGCAGGGCCTGGTTGTCTCCTCGGCTCCCAAGCCTGCCCTGGCTGGCCCCTGGAAATGGCTCGCTGTGAAAATTAACTCCTCTCTGTTGTTCTTGGAGTGCAATGAAGGCAGCTTCCCACAGCTGTGTGAGCCCCTGGCCAGCACTTCGGGTCACTAGGGCAGCCAGGGCCAGCCTCATCATAACACAAAACAATAGCATGCCCGACAGCATTATTATTCTAGCTCACCTCACAGCCAGAGCTGGCACTGGGAGCTCAGAGGCTAGGGCAGGGGTGGCTGCAGGTTTCAGACAAGGGGGCTCGCGGCTGTCTTGTTTTTCACCTTGCTGGAGCAGTGGGAAAAGCCTGAAGCCCCGGCTGTGCCAATGAAAATATTCACTCCAGGCCAGGAGAGGGAGCAAAAACAGAGAGCAATACAAATAAACAGCAGACTAAGCACTCGGGCTGTTGTTGACCAGGGGTGTCAGAGGCATCTGTACAGTTACCTTTCACACAGGCATTTCCTCTCCCTTCGCACGCTCAGGGCTCCTCTCTTTGGAGAGCCAAGTGTGTGTGTGTGTGGAGGGGGTTATCATCAGTATTACGATAGCACCTAGTATTATACATGGGGAAACTGAGGCAGAGCATGGGGACGTTTTCAAAATGTTTACAAAATAGTTCACTGACAGGATAGAAATTCTCCCCCCACCCAGGACTGGCTCCAGTGGGAATCCCTCCGGAAAAGCATCTACTTCTCCTCCCTGACAGACATTTCTGCATATCCATGTGTGTCATGCATGATGGTACCTCACAGTAGCACCCTGCGAAGGATGCAGGGCCTAACTGGTGTCTCACTCGCACTCGTGTAACTCTAGGGATTCCTAGTGAGCTTAGTGATAGTGTAGTAGGCTATTATCCATTTTACGGGTAGGGAACTGAGGCCCAGAGAGACTAAGCTACTCAGCCAAGATCAAACAGGGAGTTTGTGGCAGAGCTGGGGATTGAACCCAGCTCTCCCAAGTCACAGACTAGCACCTGAAACTCACGACTAGCCCACCTCTCTTTGGAAGGGCAAAGCCACCAGCACCTCCCCACACACTCTTCTGCCATCCCTACTAATAGCCAGTATCTTGTACTCAGGCTGTATGTAGCCTCACGCCTGAAGCACACAATGTAGATAAGCGTTAGCCTTACCTAGCAGATGGGGAAACCAAGGCACGAAGACTTGTTCCAGGTCAGGTGGCGCATCTGTGGCAGAACTAGAAAGATGGCCCAGACAAACCAGGTCTTCTGCAGCCCAGCCCCAAGCCCTATCACTAGAGTCACTTGCCACAGCTGTGAGATTTATAGAGGAGAGAGCATCACCGGCACTTGAACAAACTAGGAATCCTAGCAGGAGAGAGCTAGGGTGGGAATGAAAAAGGCAACCTTCCTAGTAGAGGAAGGGGTTTGCTCCCTGTTGCTAAGCCTGGGTTCTTCAATCTAGCAGTCTATTCGCTCCCCCCACATCAAGAGAGTTGTTTACTACAGTTTCCAAGTAAGCAACAAGGCTGCATCAGTGCCACTGAGGGCATCAGCATCTGTGTTAGTTGCAATAATGCATAAGAAAGGACCCAGAGCTCGACTCTCAGGTGCCCCAGTGGAGCAGGCAGGGCTGGCAGGCAGTTTGAGAGAAAAGAGACCCTTCTGCCTGTACCCTGAGCACATTCAATGTGAAACCAAGCGGATAAACACAGGAGCTCAGTGCCATTTTTACAGGCATAGGGCATCTATGGCCTCACTCTATTTCCTTCCACAGCTGACTGCAGTGCTACTGTTCCCATTTGCTCATCCAGCACATGAATTCAGCTCACAGCTGGAGGGGGGTGGGGGGGGGAGGAAAGTGCGTGGTTCAGAGTTATTTTTGAAACCCTTTTTACACAGCAGTTTGCCAGAGAGAATGGCCTGTTCTGGTGTATTTTAAGCCCTGTGGTTATAGAAGCAGAAAACAATATAGGAGTTTTAGCTTATCTAGAGCCCATTTCCACCTATTATGTGAGAACGGGTGAGTCCACGGCCTGAATTCCACTTCACCACTGTACCTTGGAGAGCACACGAACAATACAAGAGAGGCAAGGATGGTAAGGCTGGCCTACCCCCCAGGCCAGTCCCCTGCGAAACAGCCCTAGGACAGTCTCCACTCAAGAGTCTGAACTATTAGTCAGAGTTCCTCCCCGGCACAGGCTGTGTGAAGCCAGGAATATAGTCACCCTAAGATTCATAGACCCCAAAGCCAGAAGGGACTATTGTGATCATCTCGTCTGACGCCCTGTATCGCAGATGCCCGAGAACACCCCCCCACCAATAACTCCCAGAGCAGACCTCTTAGAAAAACATCCAGCCTCGATTTTAAAACGGTCAGGGACAGGGAATCCCCCCCCACCCTGGGTGAGTTGGGCCCGTGGTTAATTACTCTCAGTGTTAAAAATGTACACCTTGCCAGTCTGAATGTGTCTAGCTCTCGTTTCACACATTGGAGAACGGGTTCTTCAATCTAGCAGAGAAAAGCATACCATGATCCAATTTTTTTCTCCCCATGTAGGTACTGTAACCAAGTCACCCCTTAACCTTCTCTTGGTTAAGCGAAACAGACTCAAAGAACTCAGTCACTAAGGCAGGGTTTCGAATCCTTCAATCATTCCCATGGCACTTCTCTGAACCCTCTCCAATCCATCAACATCCTTCTTGAATGGTGGGGACCAGTTCTCCACACAGAACTCCAGCAGGGGCCACACCACTGCCAAAAATAGAGAGGAAATAACCTCTCTACTGCTCCTTGAGATACCTCTGCTTATAGGTCCCAGGATTGCCTTAGGCCACAGAGTCACACTGGGAGCTCATGTTCAGCTGATCGTCCACCACAGCCCCCCCAAATCTTTTTCAGTTCCCTGCTTCCCAGGCTAGAGATCCCCACACTAGGAGTAGGGCCTCCTTTGTTCTTAGATGTATACATTTAGCCCTATTAACACACAGGGCTCAGTTTACCAAGCCATCCAGCTAGCACTGAATCAGTGATCTGTCCTCTTCATTAGTTACCACGCCCTCAGTTTTTAGGGCATGTGAAACCCCGCCCCCCTTAACTTTATCACTGGCAGATTGATTTCACTGTGACTAAGGGCTACATAGGGAGGCTGCTTGTGAGGAAGGGCTGAAGAAAGGCTGCTGAGCCATGATACGGGGGGTTAAGGCAGTGAGCTATAGCTGGGGTACACCCGTATGGAGGGAATTGAGGTCATTCCCATTCTTCATATGTCTGGTCAGCACCTGGAGTTGAAGTTCAAACAAGACCATTTCAGCCCAAGTCGTGCATGATGAGATCGCCACATTTACTAGACCCCAGGTTAATTTATAGCGTCAGGCGAAAACTTCATTTGAAGTGCGCCGCTGATAGTGACAAAGAAGGCAAGCCAAGTAACCCAGCATTTCACAGTAAAAAGCTGGGAGCATTAGACTGAGAACCACCGGACTAGACGCGTTACACTAGATCTGTGAGAAAGCACCACACAGACACGGCAGGAGGTAGTTTATGTCAAAGTTTTATTTGACAAAAATGTAACATTAAGTCTGCCAGAAAGAGCTGAAGACCAACTTCCATCTGCTCCTCTCTCAGCCTGGAGCGTGTGCACTTTGGTGAGATAAGAATACAGACTGAGCAGGCATCTGTGGTGGTTTGGCTTACATTAAAAATGGAACAAACAGTCAGAAGGACATAAGGCTAGACCCTTTTGGTTTCACAGCTTTGGGATTATTCAGGCACAATTCACTGGAGCCTGCTCTCTTGAGGAGGGACAGCAGGTTTCCCTTAACCCACCACCCTCCCAGCATGTCACACCCCAGCAGGAGAGGACATTGGTGCAAACAAACAAAGTTACTGGATTTTTTTTCCTACCCCTTTTTAAAATTAAGATGTTTTGGGGGTGACTTGGGTGCTCATTAAAGTGAAATAATCAACAGCCTAAACAGTGTGCATGAACACTCTGCCAGGCAGCTCCATACCTCAACCCCCGCCACCCCCACAGCTACTCCAGCATCAGATCTCTGCCGGCCAGGAGTTGCCCGTTCTGTTGACTGGTGCAATCAGTCCCTATCGGGGAGCCCGAGGCAAGGGAACCTAGGAAGAGCGTGATCAGCCTTAAACCCCTGTCCCCCAAAGTGGTTCTAGGTCTCTGAATGGGGCAATTCACTTACAACAGCCAGGCTCCCCTCCACCCTGGCTGAATCTGTGGGCAGCCCCATTCCGGCAGAGGCCCTGTGCTCACACTCCACACATGAAGGCCCTCATTCCCAGGAGAATTGAGCACACAGTGGGATCCCTGTAAAGCAGCTGGGAAGTGAACACTCGCACTTAGCACGAGCCAACCGACAGCTTAACAGAGCCAGTGGCAAATACTGGGCTTTGAAGCCGCAGTCCTTTTAAAGTCAGACCAGCAGGTTAAAAATAAAAATAAAAATTAACCAATGGAAATCTGTGCCTCAGAAATGAGGCCACCTGGGGCAGAGGACCAGGGCTGTTACTGGAGCTACCCATGGGGATCCCTTACACCTATAAACACATGGACAGCAAGTTACTCTGAACATACATGGGGAACAGTGCTTATAACTTTGCTCTGGGGCAACAGAACTCAGGGGAGTAGGTGTTAAGTCCTGTGATACGTCCTTTCCTTAGTGCATCAGAGTTTCCTCACCCTGGGCAGGCACCTCAGCTTGGTCGGATAAGCTACTGAGTCATTCAACTTGGTGTGGCAAGATCTAGATGTTGGGATTATTTTGTCAGGTGACCCAGAAGAAGAGATGTTTGGTCGATGAGCAGGACCAGCTGCTTTGATTGGCACTCCAGTGCCCCCAACCCCACATTAATTCTTACAGCAAGCTGCCCAATGGAATTTCTAGGCTGGTGCCAAACGCCTGCAGCTGCTAAGATCTCAGAGGCAAATAGGCTTCCCCCACTGCCTCCTTTAGAAGGACAAATTGTTGACCTAGGCTGAGCCAGATTAACTCCACCGGTTCGGAATTAAAGGTCTTGGCTAGAGAGATTTAGAGTTTAGGTTACAAAGCACAGCTCTGATCAGAGCTGATGGAAACCATTGAGCAGGAAAGGGAAATCTCCCCTAGTTATAGTAAGGATATTTCCCCACATATTGCCCCAAAGACGCAGTCGCTGGTCCACCCCAAGGCAAAGCACCTTGGATTTGAACGCAAGCTGCATAATATCCCAGGCAGCTTTCCACTGAAGATGCTTCTGTAGCTGAAGAAGGGATTTTGTTTGGTTTCCATGTCTACACAGTTTAAAAAAAGAAAGCAACAGCTCTCCCGGGACTGCAGCTGGAGAAAGGCGAATGTATTGGTATCACGTGACATCGGTTACTTAGGGTCTTTTGTACAGACAAAGGCACCAGAGAATAACCCTCCCTAAGGGAGCCTGAGGTACGTTTTGCCAGCAGAATGGTAGGAAGGGTCCTCACACCCTGTAAACTTCAGCCAGCTGGCTACAATGCAACATGCAATTGAGCCACGTGCACGTCCTATGGCAAGACCAGTCTGCAGAGAGGTGCACATACCTGAAAGCACATCTACGGCACCCACACTTTAAATACACAGACACACAATGAACAGTGGAGAGCAGGAGGTGCCTGCTAGTTAACCAAAGTGGGTCGCCAACAGGAGCTTTTGGGGTTTGGTTTTGTTTTTAAAGCCTCTATAGCAAACAGGTCCTATGGCCAAGATGCCCAAGAACCAGAGTGTCCCCTCGTTCAATGGCCAAAGGATACCCCCGAGACACAGCAGCTTGGTTTCAGTGCTCTCCTAGACGTACTGTTTCTTGGAAGCAGAGCTGCCAGGCCGGCTGGCCTGCCTCTCCTGCAGGGGCTGGGCTCCTGGGGCGTAGGACTCAGGGGAGGGCTTGTTGCCACTGCGCAGAGCCAGGTTCTCCTCGGTGTTGAAGTTGGCCCAGTTCTGCTCGCTCGACAGCTTGTTGTAGGCCAGGTAGGGAGGGGAGTGGCTCTCGCTCAGGGGGAGGTAATGGCATTGCTTGCTGTCTGGGAAGGAGTCTATGTCCACAGCTGGGCTGGGAGAGGAGGAGGCCTTCCTCACGCTGCTGAGCAGGTTCTTGCAGCAGAGGTGGAAGAGTTCCAGGAGGTTGAGGCCCAGGGAGATCATGCCCACCACCATCATGAAGATGATGAAGATAGTCTTCTCAGTGGGGCGGGAGACAAAGCAGTCCACCTTGTGGGGGCAGGGGGCCCTCTCACACACGAAGATGGGTGGCATGAAGAAACCATACAGGTACCACTGGCCTAAGAGGAAGCCAGCCTCGAAGATGCTCTTGCAGATCACGCTGATGACATAGGTCCACATCAGGGAGCCACGGATCTTGATGTGGCCGTCCTCCGCCACGCAGATCTTGGACATCTTCTTCTGCACCACCACCAGAGCCTGCTCCACCTTCAAGTCTTTGATCTGCGCCGCCCGGAGCTCGCTCTCCCGCTGCTTCAGCTTCTCCTCCCGCCCTGAGAGGTAGATGACGTGGCCCAGGTAGACCAGGGTGGGGGTGCTGACGAAGAGGAACTGCAGCACCCAGTAGCGGATGTGGGAGATGGGGAAGGCCTTGTCGTAGCACACGTTGACACAGCCCGGCTGCTTGGTGTTGCACAGGAAATCCGACTGCTCGTCCCCCCATACTGATTCCCCGGCCAGGCCCAGGATAAGGATCCTGAAGATGAACAGCACGGTCAGCCAGATCTTCCCAATCACTGTTGAGTGCTCCTGGACCTGGTCCAGCAGCTTCTCCAGGAAGCCCCAGTCCCCCATCTTCTAGGGGGTCTTGTGCTATTGATGGCAGAGAGAGAACAAGAGTTAAGTCAACCTGACAGTTTGACCTTTCAGCCCTTGTTTCCGTGAAAGCCAGAGGTAGGAGACACACGGGGCTTCCCAGATTGCCACATGGCCTGGCAGCACTCCCCACCACTCTGTTCCATGGCTAGTGCGCCGTTCGACTAGGAACCCAGACAAGGGCCAGAGGGACACCACAGCCTGCCCACCCCCAGCCTGAGCCGGGACGCTGGGTTTTAGCCAGCTCCGCATGCAGTTCTTGGGTTCTACGGAGCTACGTTTAACGCTGCGTGTGCTATCGCTTTGAGGACCAGGTAGCTCTGCAGGAGAGGAAGGACTCAGATGGGCAGCTCGTGTTAGGTGCTAACTGGCTGGTGAGGTTGGGCTTAGGGTTGCCAGCTTTCTAATCGCACGAAACCAAACACCCCTTCCCCGAGGCCCTACCCCTTCTTGCTCTATCCCCCCTCCCTCCATTCACCAGGCTGGGGCAGGGAGTTGGGGTGCAGGAGGGGGGTGCGGGCTCCAGCGGGGGGTGCAGGCTCTAGGGTGGGGCCGGGGATGAAGGGTTTGGGGTGCAAGAGGGGGCTCTGGGCTGGGATTGGGGCATGCCGGCTCTGGGAGGGAGTTTGGATGCGGGAGAGGACTCTGGGTGGGGCAGGGCTGCAGGAGCGGGGTCAGGGTCCCAGCTGTGCTTACTGCAGCTCCCAGAAGCCACGTCGTGGCAGCCCCTAGGCGCATGGGCAGCCAGGGAAGCTCCATGCACTGCCCTCAAACCGCAGCTCCCACTGGTTGCGGTTCCTGGCCAAAGGGAGCTGCGGAGCCAGCACTCGGGGTGGGGGCAGCGCGTGGAGCCTCCCTGGCCGCCCATGCGTCCCGGGGCCACGAGGTGCTGGTGGCCGCTTCCGGGCACCGCACGGAGCTGGGGCAGGCAGGGAGCCTGCCTTAGCCCCGCCCACCAGAGCCACCAGGGTCCCTTTTCCCGGTCACAAACCGGACGCCTGGCAACCCTAGTCAGGCCTCAGTGGAGCACAAGACATTTTGTTCCCAGCTGAAGCCCGGGCAGGAGTTTGCTATGCTGGCTTAGCCATGCCATCAGAGCATAGGGAGGGCTACTCCCTCCTGGGAGCCCTGGGCTAGTTATGGGACCTTAAAGCTGATCACTGGGGATTTAAGCGGCTACCATCTCTGCCAAAATACTAGGGCTGCAGCAAGATGTCAGCCTTCCAGAGACTCAAGCCCCCACACTGGGAGACCACAAATATCCAGCAGAGAAAGCTACACTAGCTAGACAGCATTAGCCACTGAAGCAAGGGGGGGGGGATGGGACACCCCCTCTCACCTGGTGATTGCAGGGTGCTGATAAGCCTGGTTAGATGAATAGACAAGTGCAGCTGTAACAAGGGTCCATCAGAAAGCAGCACCTTACAGCTGGGAACAGGCTGTTTTTAGTTAAAGGTGCAGGGCCATTTAAGGGCAGCCCTCACCTTCCTGGCCAGCCACCAGCACTGCCCTCTTAGCACTGCAAAGCATGGGTGCCCCTGGAATTTAGGGGCTTAGCACAGCCTTTCTCCCACCAGCCGTTGGCAACAGCTCCAGCCAAAGGGTGTCCAGCCGAGAAGCCACTGAGGCAGGACATAGACTTTAGCGGTCCCTTGGCTTCTTGTAAGAGCTGGGTTGGTGCCACAGGGCAGGTTCGTGCCAAGGCATCCAGGTGCCCAGTGGGTCATCTGTCCCTGAGCAAGGGCATAGGGCAGCAGCCCACACCTGGGTGTAAGAGGTTAGAGATGGACCAGTCCCCCTCTCTTTAGAAGCCTCCCCTGCAGATGAGCTGGAGGCTGGGCATAGACAGCTGTGTCACTGCTGTGTGCCCCCCTTTTGACAGCCTTACTGAGGAGCTCGTTAGAGACACAAAAGCACTGGGGCTTAAGCAGCCCTCTTGGACAGGAGCCCAGCCTTCCAGGCAGCACCCCTGTCTGGGCGAGAAAATGGGGAGGGGGGAGAAGAGCACGATTTGAAAGCTCCAGGTGCGCTATCCTTCTCCCCAGGGTCACAGCAGCAGACAAAGCAGAGACCCCCCCCCACACTTTACCACTTTCTTACCCTTTGGGGTGCAGAGTTTAGTTACTCAGAGCCCAACTCAGCAGAAACAGACTCTGATGTTAATCACCCAGGAAAGTCAAGGCAGCAATAGAGAGACAAGGCATTTCAGCCCCAATTAACTGCCCGAAGGGGAGATTCACTCACTCAGTTCCTTCCCAGGGTCTCACTCACTTTCCAAGGGCACTTCAGAGCTAAGCACAGTGGCCACCCGCACGGGACAGGGGCTCCTGCAGCACCATGCCCCTAGCCTAGAAAGCTCATTTGTAAGGAACACCTATCAATTAACCAATTAAGGGGTCTGTTGGCTCTTTAGAGCAAGGACTCACAATGGAGACGGGTTGATGGGGCCAGATGCAGTCATGAAAGGGTTAAACTGAGGCAGCCTGGTGCGAAGCCAAGGGCTAAGGCATGCATCACCTGAGCTCAAAGGTGCATGCAGGGGGCTAGGACACAGACCCCCTTTGCATTCCCCCATCCCCTTCCCTGCAGCAACCCTCTGGTTTGCAGCATCTGGGCTGAGCCCCTGTCCCCAGTCCCAGCACCTTGGCCAGCCCAGCCATGCCCCAGAGCAGAGGGGCTGCTTGACAGAGGGACCCAGCAGCCAGCTGGAGTCTGGTGTTTACTCACCGAAGCCAGGCACAACTGGGTGACTTCAGGCCCAGGCTCCCTGCTGGCCCACAGGCTGGGAATCAAATGCTCTGCCCCAGGTGGGGCAAGGGGGTTACAACCTGTGGCTCTTTACGCAGGAGGCTGTTGCTCCCACCGAATCCCTGAGACTGTTAGAGAGAAGGAGGAAACTGACCCTGGATAGAGTTACACGGGGGGCGGGGGGAGGAGCCGCAGGAAACTGGGGGTTGGTAAAGTTAATAGTTTGGCTGCAGAGCCCTCCTTTAAAGGGGCAGCTGCTTTGGCAGGTGTGCGGGGGGACTTTATTCTTTTCCTGGCCCCGGATTCAATGTGAAATCAGCGCAATACTGGGGGAAGAGCAGAACGACGGGCGGGGGGAAGCGGCTGCGGGGACAGGGGGAGAGTGGCCCTGCTGGGCTCCCTCCTCTTTCACAGGGAGTCGCAGACGGGGCCAGGGCAGCCTGGAAATAGGAAATGGAGGAAAACAAGCCAGACAGGGCTGAAATAATACTCCTATCAGGCCAGGGCAGGGCCTCCCCCGTGGAGCCAAAACTAACACGATGAAGGGCTGCTGGGAAGATCCCGGGCCAGGGACCTGAGCTATGAGAGTCTGGTGACAACCAGGCCTCTGTGGGGGCATCGCCCCTGATTAAGCTCTGTTTTCGGGGCCGTCTTCCCCTGAAGCCAGGGAAGACCTCTGGCATTTGAACCAATGCGCCGGTGCACAAGTGACTTAGGCTGGGGGCTATGGGAGCCGGGAGCCTAGGAAGTGCCCCGCTAAGATGCTTTGCCAAGGGTCTGTCCCCCCTTGTCTAGCTCCCCCTTGTCCTAAGGGGTAAGGCCCTGGCCCAGAGCTCACATGGGACTCTGCTTGGGGGGTTGAGCTTGCAGCTAGCAGGGGGGTGAAGTTGAACAGCTCTCTCTGGGCTGCTGCTGGGGCTGGTGACATACGCAAGGGTTTGGGACGCTCTGAGTTCAGGAGCAGGTCAGACTGCTCCCAGCTGGGCCTGATCCACCATAAAGGGCCTGATCCTTCCACCCTCGCTCGCACTGAGCAGCACTTACCTGGGAAGCCCCATGGATTTCGGCAGGGACTAGTCACCTGTCTGAGGGCTGTGTGACGGCAGTGAGGGGTGCAGACTCAATCACACGCTCAGGGAGGTGAGGGAGGAGGTGACTGGCTCCCAGGGAAGGGCTGAGCGAGTTGAGAGCTGCAGGCAGAGGGGATGGAGGGGTGGCTGCAGCCAAAAGGGAGGGGGGCACTTGCAGGTTCCATGGCAAGGGGGCACGAGGTTGATTATTGCAGGGGAACTGGCCCAGAGGTGGCTAGTAAAGGAAGACGGGGCTGAGGACCAGGGTTAGAGGGTTCTGACTCCCAGGGTTAGAGGCTGACCATGGCCACAGGTGGTAAAGCCCTGACCACACTAGGAGCCCTGGGGTTTAAAAACAGGTTAATTAAATCTGGGTTGGTAACTCCTTTTAGAACGAGCCGTAGGATTTCCCTAATCTAGACAGGGCTGTTCTCTCTGCCGCACTCCGAATCTCTCTCACGCACACACGTGTACACACACACACATGCACCCCTCGTAGGGCAGCATTCCACACCCACGTTACACTCTCTTTGCACGAGGGTACATGACAGCACCCTGCACGCGCTGTGAGGCGAGGCACAGCCAAACCCATAATCTCGCTCTCTGGCTATAACCTGCCCTGCACACACATTTTGTACCAGAGCAACGTGTTGGTTTAGGGGGGTGATTTCCCCCCCCCCCATACAATTGTATTGGCACAAGCCCTAGTTCTGGGGACAGCTGTACCAGTATAAAGGTGCTTCTACCAGTATATTCCCCGTCCCCTCTGGTCTGTTGCATTCCTAACTGCCCAGGTACTTGGTTGTTAGCGAGTAGCACCACCCTTTGGACAGAACGAGAAAGGCACGAGCAAGAGGAATTCGGATCATACAGGGTTTTAAAAGAATGAAAAGACTTTTCCCCCCTCCAGTTTATTCTCATCCACCCAAATAAGCCACCATCCCTCCCCCTCTCCTCGCTCTCTGCCCTCCCCCAAACAGAGGTGATACTTTTGGGCTGCTGTTTTCCAACCTGGGTCCCTAAAGTTCAGCTCCTAAATCCATATTTAGGCTACTAGATGAAAGTGGCTTTATTCCCAGAGGTACCGAGAGGCCACAGGTCCCTGGCTCAGCAGTGGTGCTGGTGACTCCTTCAGGCTATGTGGCTACTCTCAGCAATTTTTCACTAGCCAGGTGCCTCCATTTTCCTGCACTGCTTCTTGAACTCCCTGTTGGGCAAATTGGTTGGATTCTGAGAGGAAAGACACTGAATTCTCAGGCCTGTCTGAAATGTGGGTGATTTCCAGCAGATCAGGTTCAAAGCCTCTCTCCATATAAGGAACTTATCCAGCTCCACTCACCGTAGTCTCTGAGCACCTCACGGTCTGTAATGTGTTTATCCTCACAACGCCCTGTGAGGTAAGGAAGTGCTGTTATCCCCATTGTATAGATGGGGAAACTGAGGCACAAAGTGACCCAAGATCATGCAGGGGGTCTGTGGCAGTGAAGGGAAATGCACCCAGGCCAACACCCTAATGACTGGGCCATCCTCCCCCGCCCCCCCAAGATCTAGGTTTATTTCCATTTCCAATAGCGCGTGTGTCTTAGGCTCCTTGGACACTTTTGAAAATGTCCCCCAGGATCTCTCTGGGCCTCAGTTCCCATCTGTACAATGGACGTGACAGCCCTGGCCTGCCTCACTGCGGTGGTTTGGGAGAATAAATACCTTCAAAGATTAGGAGGTGCTCAGATACCATGGCCACGGGGGCCACATAGCTACGTTAGACAGATGTGGCAATTCGGCAGGCTATTGATCCGGTTTTGGCCAGACGATCCTGCTTTTCTAAAGTTTCTCCCCCGTCTGGTACTGAGAAAAACCCAGACGTGGTTTTGTCCCATATCGGACGGGGAGGGAGGGGGCACCATTTTGAAGAGCGTGCAAGGTTATGCCAGCGGGGCAGGGTGGTGTGCACCTCAAAATGGCATCCCCCTGAGCGTGATCTTGCCTGGTAGCAGCGGAGTATCCACCATTCTGGGGATGAGGGGCATGGCCAGTCTCGCGGCAGTAAAATCGGCAGGACTGATGTCCCCACCCAAACCTGCAGGGGGAGCTGGCGTGTCTGATGGCAGCTCAAGGAGCTGACGTCTGCTGTGGAACGGCCAGCACCCACTGGGTGCAACGGAGTCCGCCAAGGAATTGCTTACAGGACCGTGCTTTTAGCAGCAGGCAGACTCAGCCACCAGCCTTTCCTGCTCCGCCTGGCACACGGCACTCAGTGGGCGGGGAGGGTGCTGAGATGGTGCAGAATCAGAGCCCTTGGACAGGGGTTGTGTTTTCCCCAGTGGGGGATTCTTCACCAGATTGATCCCTGGGTGGCACTGGACCGACGGAGGATTCCCACAAATCCACTGGTTCAAAAGAGGAACCTCAGAGTTACAAACACCCGAGTTACGAACTGACCAGTCACCCACACACCTCATTTGGGACCAGAAGGAGGCAATCAGGTGGCAGCAGAGACAAACAAAAGCAAATACAGCACAGTGCTGTGATAAACGTGAACGACCAACAAAAAGGGAAAGTTGAAAAAAAAAGATTTGATGAGATCAGGAAACTGTTTCCGTGCTTGTTTCATTTAAATTACGCTGCATAAAAGCAGCATTTTTCCTTCTGCATCATGAAGTTCCAAAGCTGTATTAAGTCAGTGTTCAGCTGTAAATGTTTGAAAGAACAACCATGATGTTTTGTTCAGAGTCCTGAACGTTTCAGAGTTACAAACCACCTCCATTCCCGAGGCGTTCGGAACTCTGCGGTTCTACTGTACTTAAAAACAGCATCGTCTCTCTCATAAATAAACCTTTCCCTCGGTTAAAGGCACACGCTGATCTAATGGGATGAGCTTAATTAAACAATCAGGGGCCATAACATGCCATCAGATTTTAAGCAGAACTCCTGCACTGGAATAACCAGGGATTTCTGCTGAAATGCCCATGGGGTATATGGCCCTGTGTCTTTAGAAAGGCATGATTCTAGATGTTCTGAACAAGGCAACAAGCTCTCAGAGAGGAGCTTCTCACGAGTAGGGCAACAGACAGAGTTTGGTTCCAAGGATCTGATCAGGTGGGGCTCAATTTCACCTTCCTAAATCATTTTGAATGGCGTTGATGGAGATTACGCATGGCATGGGATGTAACTCAGCGTGAGCCAGGGGATCAGAATGTGGCCCTTAGAATATAGGCCCTGATTAAGCAAAGCAGTGAAGCATGTGCTTAATTCTTTTCACACGCTTAAGTCCCATTGGCTTCCAGGGGAGCCGAGTTAGGCCGGTGCTGAGCGCTTGTGACAGACCCATCCATACTGCAGCTGACGTGTTTAATGTGCAGGGGGTTGAGCTGCAGGGCAGGGAGCTGCTCATTGGGTTACAAATAATCTTGTTGCACTCAGCTCAGGCTCTTTAGCAGGGGGTCTCTTTCAGGAGGCCCTGCTGTGTCATGAAATAGACACCAAGGGCCGGATAACCCACACACTAATCTCTTTATCCTCAGCCACCGCTCATCCCTATCGGCCGGGTGCATATGGGCCACAGACTCCCAATGCCCTCTGCCTGGGCTGGGCCAATAGGGGTCAGGATCTGTGGCCATGCAAACACAGACAATCCTAGGGCAAGTCATGTCAACCAAAGGGAACAGGTTAGTTTCAAATAGCAACTAGTGGGATTCGTCCCTGGAAAGAGGCACATTAACTAGGGTGGAGGGGCAGCGTGAAGGGTGGGGCAGGAACCTCAGCATTGCTGCAAATAATAATAGGCCTCAATAATAAATAATACTGTTTCTGGTAGCACCCCTGATGTGCTAGGCCCTGTACAAACACAAAGCAAGGGATGGTGTGGTTCCTTTATCTGATGTATGGTCATGCCCTAGCATAGTTTACCCCATATTCAAACAACTCTGATTAGTAGCCTCTGGGCCAGATCCTCCTCTCCTTTTTTACATCAGTCCTACACCATTGGGGTGTACAACAATGCAGTTTCATTGGGTTTAAAGTGGTTACTGCTGTCACTGGAGAAGTGGTGCTCAGCTGCCTTACATCAGAGCTGATGATCGGGACCACTGACTTCAAAGCAGTTACTCCTGATTTGCGCTGGTGTAAGCGCAGAATCAGGCCCACTGCCGCTCTTTGCAGCCTTAGCTGCTCCTAGCAAAGTTTTCTGATTGAGAATATAAAATTCCTCCGTTCCAGCGGGATTGAAGCTCGTCTCTGGCCTGTTTTCTTCCCCGGATGTTTGGTCTTTCTGCGAGTTTCTGTTTTTCCAGCGACTGACGTTCCCTTCGCTATATTTCACTCTGTGCTTTGAGCGGGTGCAGGGAACGTGGACACATGCTCTTCTCTGCACAGGCCTGGCTGTTTCCTGGGACTCATTGGCATGGGGATCTAGGAAATGCTTCGTCTTTGCAGATGCGCCCCAGAAGCGTCGTCACGTGTCAGCAGTTAAAGCGCGGGACAAAATCACCAAAGCAAAGAGGATTCTGATACTCGTTGGTGACGAGGTCACTGTCTACCTTTCCCCCAGGGCTGGAGGTCTCTGGATGGCCTCTCCAGTACATCTGCCAGAATGCCTGAGCCATGACAGTGCTGGCAAGGTCAATGCTGGGTTTTCTAGGCGTGCTGGCATCTCCCAGAGGCCAGGGGGAAAGAATGACAGAGACCAGTGCTGCTCGAAGCAGGGAATTTGTATGCAGCTAAAGTCCAAGGAGTCTGGGATTTCTCTCCCTCCTTGTCTTAGAACCTGAGCCAAAGTCCAGGGGAGTTTTCCCATTGACTTCAGTGGGCGATGGATCAGCAGGGGTAGGTGCTACAGGTGCAGCCCGGTAGAAAGGAATTTCTGAACCGCCGGTACATTTGGGAGCCACATCCCACTGACCTCCGCGGAGCGCTAGGGCCTGGAATGGTGCCACGAAAGGGTTAATAGGAAAGCCTAATGGGAGGTGGGGCCCAGCAAGGCGAGTCGGTGTTTGAAGCCCCAGCTGGAGTGAGTGTTGACAGGCCCTTTGCATAGAGCCGGGGCTGTTTAAGAATAGATTAAATGGAAATCATCCCTATTTACTGTAATATTTATCAAGGGTTAGTGAATAATTGGGGCTGATCCCTTCTTGATTTCCTGGGGGGATGGAACCTGCTTATATTGAATGAAAGTTTAATGACATGCGGCCAAGTGGCAGGCTGCAAAGTGGGCAACGCACGTCCCGGCGACGGGCCTGGGCTGATGGAACACCAGGGCTGAGCATCAGTGGGCCAGGAGCAAGGCCACGCCTACAGCCCCCCTTCCTGGTTAGGGCCTAACTCTGCTAACCCTAACCCTAACCCTTGAAGCCAAACAGGTGAACTTGTTGGCTTGGGTTCATGCATCCATCCATCCTCAGCTGCGCCTCTTTCTATCTCTGCACTTACCCTTCTCCCCTCCTCTCTCTGTCCCATCCCTACCGTATCTCAGCCATCCACTGCTTCACTAACCAGAGGCAGAAAAGAGTTTTCCTTTCAACGTATCAGAGACAATCCCCTCTTTTCTCCAGATTTGGCAGCAATTGTCCGTGGAAATGCTTCTAACCACACCTGATCACAGTTGCACTGATCCTCTTCAAGCTGCAAGGGGGTAAAGCGATACTGAGCTGCTGACTCCCTTTGGTCTCCATTTCAATCCTGGGGCACTTTGTGTTTAGCAAACTTAAATCCAGCTCAATGTCTGTGGGCAATCTCGAGCAGGGACAGCGTGGTCCAGTGGTCAGGACCTCAGGAGACCTGGGTTCTATTCCTGACTCTGCCACTGACCTTTGGGTGATCTTGGGCAAGTCGCTTCCCCGCTCCATACCTCAGTTTCCCATTTCACCCTGTTCATTTAGACTGTAAGCTCTATGGGACAAGTGTGTACATACAGCACCTACCACAATAAGTCCCTAATAATGGGAGCAACATTCCTAAATGAGATACAGTGGTCCCGTGCTGAAATAGGCAAATGGTCCCCAGCAGAGGCCATGCCCCATCGTATACATCCCTCAGAGAAAGCAGGCATGTAGCTGTAGATAAACAATGTAGCATTTATTTGGCCATTCCATTACCTGGTTGATTACACAAATCAAATTTTTGTTTGGCCTCCGGGGGTGGGACATGCGTCCCCCAGTCCAGCAGGAAAGCTGTAAAATACAAAATACTAGTCGCGTTGCTGTGAAGCATTTTTCGGAGCGTCCCAGACAGGAGGCGTGTGGGAGGGGCACATTTACAGAAAAGAAAACGAATGAAGTTGACTGGGATTGACAAATCAAAATCCAACGGGATAGATCCTCAGCTGGTGGAAACAGGCTATGCCGGTTCTTACCAGCTTAGGAGCTCGTCCCAACATGACTTCGACCCAGCAAACATGTTTGACAAGTAGCTGCTAAATGTTTCTTGTCTATAACGTTTTCTGAGCTGTGCATTGCCTGAGAGAGAACTCCCTGAGGCTGCAGCCACTCGGCAAAATGGAGCGAGGGCTGGCCTGCTTTGCGCTTAAAACTTATACACGTCTAGCGATGTCGGGCAGGGGTGTGAAAAAAGCCCTCACTCATAGGGTATGTCCACACAACAGCTGCCCAGCTATGGTGCTACAGAGACAGAAGGGGTTTTTCTGTCCATGTCGTTAATCCACCCTCTGGGCGGTGGTAGCTTTGTGGATGGAAGAATTCGTCTGTCGACTTTGCCACGCCTACACCGGGGGTTAGGCCGTGGTTTCACAGCCCTGAGCAACACAGCTAGGGCAATTTGAGTGGAGCCCAGACGCTAGAGACAAAGTCATGCTGACAAGCCCCCCAGTGCAGATGCTGCTGTGCTGACAGAAGACCTCTGTCGGCATAGGGAGGTGGTGCTTTTACACAGGCAGAAAAACTCCTTCTGTTGGAGTACGCTGTGTCTACACTAGAGGGCAATGCTGGCATAGCTACGCAGGCTCTGGAGTGTAGATATAGCCCGTGAGTGGCGACCTGGCATTCATTTTCAGGGGAGGAGGATGGGGGAGTTATTAATAACAGGGGCTTGATTCGCCATTACCATGCGCTTGCTGCAGTCTGCTGCACAGTGAGTGCAAAGTGCTGGCAGATCAGAAGTAGCTGCCCTTTTTACACAGCTGTAAACAGCTGGCCCAAAAGGCTGTGTTCTTCTGCATTCACACTGGTGCCAAGTGGGTACAGAATGTTACAAGGGCAACAGAGAATTGGGCCCAACATGCAGGGCAGCAGAAGCCGGGTTTAGAGGCCTGGCTGGTTGTTAACCAAAACACGGCGCATCAGAGTGGGCCTGCTTCTCATTTACATGCAGGCCATTTTACACTGCTCTGGGCGTATAAAGGGAGACAGGTGGAGCGGTGTGTGTGAATGAGGATCTGGGACTTTTGTTTTGCAGTCCAGGCGGGTCAGCTGCTGAGCTAATGAGAAATAAAACAGCACTTCTAAACAGGGTGCACCTCTGAATCTCTTTTAATCTCGTCCTCTCGCTGCAGGGAAATGTTTTCCTGGGATTTCTAAAGGAGCTGTGTGGCCATTAGGGCACAATAGTATGAGCAAACAGACTGACCTTCTCCATGCAGATCCTTCAAGGATGACATTGGTCCCTATGGCCTGATATTGACCAATCAGTAAATATCAGCCTGGCAATCGACAGAGCTTAAGGTCCCAACAGAAGCCAATGTTTGCCTTTAGGACAGCCTGAATTCGTGCCAGCAGAATCCGAGACACTTGTTACTTACCTGTTCCTAAACAAAAAAGTGCTGGTTTTGGGATCAAAATGACTTTTTGTTTCAAAATTTAAGTTAAATTATGTAAAAATAATTTAAGTATAAAAAAGGTCAACATCAAAACAAAAGGTTTGGAAATTACCAAAAGGAAGTCTCTCATTCGACCAGATCGGAAATTCCTTTTGGATTCTCGGTTCATGAAAATTTTCATGGTTTTGACTTTTTGTCCTGATTCAGGATGGGAATTTTTTTTGAAGTCTCAAAAATTCTTGTGGGATGGGCCAACGTTTCCCAATATACACAAGCATGTGCACCATCAGCTACCCAGGACTCTATTTTAGTCAGAAACATCTTGGTGAAGTACTAAAAAAAATCCAAAGAACAAGAACTTCCTGCAAATACATATACACTCAGATTCCTCAGATCTTATGGACTTATGTCCTGTCCTAGCCAGCCATGCAACATCAGTTACTGGGGTGCATGGGTATGGATTTCCAACCATGGTTAATAATAAACTCACTGGGACAGAGTCATGTCTGGTGTATTTGGACTGACACCTCAACTGGATTTGACTGGTGTTATCCCAGGGATGAATTTGACACGTTTAATTCGAATTTTGCATCCCGATCCCATTTTCAACCAGGAATGGGAGAACTCATTGGGTTTCAGCCAGAAGCTACTTGGTAATGGGGGTTTACAGAGTTAGGGAAAATGTTGAACATTACAACAGAAAACAACTTAAACCAAAAATTGTAAGGCCAGAGTCTCGGCTGGTGGAAACTGGCCTCGCTCCGTTTATGTCACCTGAGATCTGGCCCAGAACAGGTCACAAACCCCCAAACTCCACTGGGCTGTTCCGCTGCTTCTTGAAAATATACAGAACTCTTTCCCCCGCAGAGTCACTGTTACTCCTGCCACTCAGTTCAGAACGGAGAAGCTGGGCTGTGGAATCACTGTTATAGCTAGTGCATTAATTCAAGGTTTTGATCTAGGATGTTTTACTGACTAAACTCTTCCAGGCAAAGTTTAATGCCCTCCCTAGGCACCCGAAGGCACAGTGCGGGGGCTTCTTTGCTCTCTGATCTGAGTGCTTTTGGAGAGAGGTTGAAGTTTCTGAGATAGATGCAAACTACAGAGACTCTCCCAAGAGAGACACCCACAATCCCACTCTGTGCCTATGACTTTATTCCCACAGAATTGCTAGACCCCATGGACTTGGTTCTTTGGTAAGGTCACGGTTCACGGGAAAGGCCAGGATTTGCTCACTGCTTCTGTATCAGAATAAAGCCCCTTCCATCAACGTCCTAGTTAATGAACCATCCGCTGAGGTACTGAGCCCAAGCACCTCTCTACGCAACGTGATGGAGTCTGCGAAGGGAGCTGGCGCTTGGGGCCTGGCAGCTGCGAGTTTAGCAGAGGGGGGAGAGAACAGCAGACAAATATTGTCCTTGGCAACTTTACATTAGTCATTTCTCCGAAGATTTAAAAGCCAGCCGTCTCCTCCCTTCCCTTGTGGCCTGTCTGAGCACGTAGGAGGGAAGCTCCAACCTGCAGGATTGCATGGAGCGGCTTGATACCATGTAAATAATGAAAAGCATAGACTTTTGGATTCACACATCCTCCTTGGCTAGGCAAACCACCCACCTGTGCCCTGCATGTTAAGAGCAGCTGCAGCATATAAACCTACTGCCAGGGCCTTGTCCTTTCCGCCCGGCCCCGACAAAATGCACAACTCAGTCAGCCACGCCGAACGGGGAGAGATCCTGCCTTGGCGATGCGCCTCCTCTCCCTTGATTTGTCATAGCCATTGAGGTCCCATTGAAATATTCCAGTAATACTTGAGGCATGGCAGGCAGCCATCTTGGAAGTCAGTTGTCCCTGGCCAACATCAGGGCTTTTCCCTCCCCCGACACGCCCTGTCAGATCACAGTCAAGTTGGGAGAGGAGGCCTGGAGGGCATCCAAAGGCTTGTTCTTGGCCTTGCCATCCTGCTGCTCCAGCTTGAGGTGGCACTGGCAGGTGGAAGCCTGGTTGTAGTTGACCAAGTGCTTGGAGTTCTTCTTCCACTTGTGTAGGCTCCGGACAGCCCGCTTGAAGATGAGGTAGAAGATCTCGCAGACGGTGAGGACAATGCAGAGGGCGGAGGCCCCCACCATGAAGTAGGTGAAGACCTTTTTCTCAGTGGGCCGGGCAATGTAGCAGTCCACGATGTTGGGGCAGGGGTCCAGGTTGGCGCACTTGACCAGGCGCGGCAGGTCAAAGCTATCCCACATCTTGTGGAGGAGGTAGAGGAAGCTGATCTCGATGGTCAGCTTGAAGAAGAGGGTCAGCAGGTAGGTCCACCACAGCCCGCCGTGTTTCTTGCCCGGGTTGCGATAGAGCTTGGGGCAGTCCTCACCATTCTTCTCCCGGTTTTTCTTCTCCCGGTCCTCCCGGTAGGCCACGTGCATGATCACCAGCAGGGAGGGGCAGGTGACGAAGATGAGCTGCAGGGCCCAGAGGCGGATGTGGGAGATGGGGAAGTAGTGGTCGTAGCAGACGTTGGTGCAGCCGGGCTGCTTGGTGTTGCAGTCAAAGTCCTTCTGCTCGTCCCCCCACACGCGCTCCGCCGCCACCACGTAGACCAGCACCCGGAAGACAAAGACCACGGAGAGCCAGATGCGCCCAAAGGCCGTGGAGTACTTGTTCACCCCGCTCAGCAGGCCCTGCAGCATCTTCCAATCCATGGTGACGGGCCTCGGGGGAAGCCAGACTCACCTAAGTCAGAGAAAAGCAAGAGAAATAACAGATGAAGGGAACTCAATGGGAAATATCAAATGGCCAGATCCCCAGCTGGTATAAATCAACGCAGCTCAGCTGAAGTAAGCAGAGCTTCACTGATGCACCCCAGCTGGGAGCTGGTCCAAGCAGTTTTGCTCAGTGATTCTCTTGGTTTTGAAAGAACTCACATTTCAATACCTTGATCCTCACACCAGGCTGCCCCTGTCCTTGGAGCAAACACACCAGGGGGCACCCCTTTAAGAAGGGATCTGTAACTTCAACCGCTTGAAGCGGAAAAGTTCCCAGCACGAGGGCAAAGACTATGGGGAGCAGAGCTCTGGCTGGGGAAATTCATCCATCTGCAGAAGGCCCCTCCCCTGGGATTCGGAGCCCAGGCTCCAGCCCGAGCGGGAACGTCTGCATTGCTATTTTTAGTCCCATAGCCCGAGCCCCCCACCATGACCATCGACCCAGGCTCTGCGACTTGCTGTCATGGGTTTGGCTGGTTTTTTATTGCAGTGTGTAGACGTACCCCGAAGCCCTCGGGGCAGAGCTCTGGCTGGGAGTGGGATTTAGCCGGCAGAGTCATTGTGATAGCCCTCTGCACGGGGTGAATTGCAGCCACTGTGAGTGTAGTCTCTCTCCCATGACCGATGTGGCTGCAGGGGCTCTGGTGACGGGAAAACCGGTGGCTCGGAGTCCAGGAGCTCCAGAATGGCCCCGTGTGGCTGCCCAGCTCCAGAACTGCTTACAGAGCATCTCTTTGGGGAATCTGGAAACCAGTTGGCATGCTCTCTTCCACAGCTGGGAGCAGGAATGAGGCTGAGGCTTTGCTAAGTGCCATTAGGGCCTTGCACCTGGGCTCAGGAGGGAGCAGCTTGTGTTGGCTTATGGGTTTTACCAGGCGAGAGGTGAAGTAGATCCTAGATCTGGCACCCGATACATTCTTCCTCCCTCCCTTCCTCCCTCTTGGTACAGACAGATCATCAGTCCAATCCAGACCCTGTTCCCTAGTGACCAAGGCTGGGATTTCCAAAGGGATTTAGGCCTCCAACTCTCACTGCAATTCAATGGGATTTGGGCGTCTAATTCCTTAGGCCACTCAGCACCAAAGTCAGCCTGGGGATGAGGCTAACACAGCCCACGTCAGAGCCAAGGGGAGCCGTCCCACCTGAATCCGGGCTACATCTAGGTCAGCTGGCGTCATTAACCCATGCAGTGCTGAATGTTTTCATTTAGCCTGCTGGGTCACAGCTGAATTGCGGAGTGACTCATCTGTATTGCTCATCGCCTTGACAAAGGCTTATGAGTAAGAGATGACGAATTGGGCAAGGTACCTACCTGCAAACCAAAGCACTGGACAATTAGCTGCCTGATTCTTCGCTCATTTACACTGGCGTAAATCAGGGATGACTTTACTGAAGTCAGCTGGTAAAAGTGAGTGGAAGATCAGGCCCTGAGATTCAGACATAGAGTAGGACTCCTGTGTTTCAATGCACTGAACACTGTGGAGGTAGATTTCAGCAAAAGAAATGCAAAGCCCCAAAGGCAAGCTTTCAGGGGCGTTTGGGGCAATTCCCCAATATACAAGCTATGCAGGGTCAGCCTGCACCTTACCCTAGTAAGAGAACAAAACAGGAGCCACATGAAACTGATTGCCGGAAACCAAAAACTTGGTGGAATATTTTGCAGGTTGGATATAAAACAACTAATTTATATAATAGGATTTTACTCCTCTCGATTAACAACTGGAAACAAGAGGAGGGGATCATAGTCTAGAGGGTCAGAAATGTATTAACCCTTTGCTGATATTAGGGTGTGGATCTTGCAACATGTGCTAATGTGTGACCATTCCCAGAAGAGCCAGATCCAAGGTCTTTTGGTTCTGTTTGTACAGCCCCCAGCACAATGAAGTCTTGGTCCTTGACTAGGTGCTATGATAACACACAAATCGTAATGATAGTAACAATGCTCATAAAGGTGATTGATCACTACAGAGCAGGTGTGAGAATCAAAATACTACCCAACCTGGAAGCAGAGCTGGTGGAAAAACTTCCACTCCGCACTTTCCCATTCCTAAATGATTGCCTCATATCTCCTAATGGCCTGGGTTAGCCCTCTGCACAGGGACGTAGTATGCAAAGCACCCCTAGATACATAATAATCATCACTAATTGTATCTGCTGCAGCCCACACTTTGTAGGATGATGCATAAAGCACAGCAACATGCTGACTCCTGGCCCAAGCGAAGCAGGTGAGTAATTGTGCTAGGTCGATCCCCATTACTGCCGTGGTCGGGGTGGGAGGCCCATGGACAATGCTGAGGAGAAGGTCTCTGAAACATCCGGTGGAAAAGTTAGTAGGTCCAAATTCTAATCCAATGTGATTTTCTTAATTTAATAACTAGAGCTATTCAGCGTATGGGTTTCCCCCCCCTCAAGGTGTCATTTTCAGCAAAAAATAAAAAAAAAAATTGAAACCCAAAATATTTTGGCCAAATCCTGAGATATTTCAATTCTGAAATGCTTCTGTGGTGCCTCATGGGAATTGTAGTTTAGCTGCCTCATGTCCATGTTCACCTCTATAAACCAGGCTCCCTGGTTGGACTACATCTGCCATAATGCTAGGGGGCCGTGTAGCATGGCAATTGATTGGCTGCAGTGCACCATGGGAGATGAAGTCCAGCTGGGGAGCCCAGCTTGTAGAGGAGAATGGGAGCGGGAGGCAATGGAACTATAACTCCCAAGAGGCACTGCAGCAGTCTTTCAAAATTGAAATATTGTAGTTTTCTGGCCATTCAGTGTTTTGAGTATACCAAAAAAAAAAAAAAAAGTCTATAGAAAGCAGACATTTTTCATCAAAAACTGGTTTAATCAACGCCCCAATTTTCCATCAAAAAATAATTTAGATGGAAAATTTATGACCAGCCTTCCGAAGAACTCTTTGGCTGCTCCTCCTGGGATTGCCTGCTACAATCAGTCTGCAAATCTCTGACTCAGAAAGCGCCACACTATTTGACATCTCTCCCTTTACAGTCAGCTCCTGCCCATATCCCACCACCTTGCCTTTAAAGCCCCTCCCAAAATTCCAAAGCCCTGACTGCTCTGCCTGGCCATAAAAGACCTCATGGCAATGTTCTTACAAGTGGGGCTGTGGAGGGGGGTTTTCCCCAGGACTCTTTGCTGCAGCAGCCCCTTCTCCCAGTGTTATGTGCTCTGTCTGCTGCCCTCTACCCCAGCGGCAGCTGGATGCAGTTTGTGATTCTGTGGGACGAAGGAAGGATACTCTTCCCAGAAGACAATACACTGCCCAGGCAGGGAGTGAGCTGAGACCCCCAGGAGACAGCACCGGTAGAGTCCTCAGTGGATTCATTTGCAGTTCTGCAGTTCTGCTGGGGCTCACTCCTGGGACTTCCGGGCCATGCCCAGTTGACTGCATAGCTCACACTGTGTAGCATGAACTCCCAGAACTAGGCCTCCTCTGTGCCGCCTCCCCCCACCCCAACTTTGGAACAACCTGCTCCCTGACAGTCCAGCTCGGGTTTGACCTGCACGCCGCCTCAGGATGCTTTATTAACCAGTCTAGTTAGTTTCAGAAAGCTGGCCAGCACGGAAGCTAAATGCCTTCCTAACTACAACAATGAATCTCCCATCATCTGGGCCACACAAAACAGACAGGGTGGGTTCCCTTGCACGCCCTGCCTGCTGTAGGCTCAAGTCGGAGGTCTAGGAAAGATCATTTTGTGGGTGGTTTAATTCCAGTCGAGTTTTTAGTATTGTTCTCTCTCTATAATATCAAAGAAAAGACACACTTGATCTAGGTGCCTATAGAGAAGTTTTCAGGTATAAGGGCCAGATTGTGGCTAGGGCACTGGACTGGAACTCAGGAGAGCTGGGTTCAATTCCTGGCTCTGCCTTTGGTTGGCTGGGTGAGCTCGGGCAAGTCACTTCCCCTCTCTGTGCCCCAGTTTCCCCATCTGTAAAATGTGGATAATGACACTGACCTCCGTTGTGAAGTGCTTTGAGATCCGCTGATGAAACTGCTATACCAGAGCTAGGTGTTGTTATATTCTCAGCTACACCACCTGGCTATCTAGACAGCTCAGCCAATTTCGGTAGCACCCTAAGTTACACTAGTATAACTGAGAGCAGAATTTGATCCTTAAGGGGTAGCTATAGCAAAAGTGACTATAGAGTGTCCCTTTCGTAGTGCCCAATAGCTGTTCCCTACATTTTCACAATGGACTAGTAATTTGGGATGCCTCACTGATCGGGTGCTCAACACAAGACACCCTAAAGGGGCTGATTGTCAGGCAGTGGGTGCTCAGTAGAGCTGGTTAGGAAATGGTGAAGGAACCATTTTTGTCCTGCAAAATGCTAAGTCAGCAAAACCCACACTTTCTACCGGCAAGGGGCAGTTCTGACAACTTTTCTTTACTTGAAAGATTTGGGGCGGGGGGGGGGAAGCTTTGAAACTGTCAAAACACTTCATTTCCATGTTTTCAAAATGAAAAATTCTGGTGTAGTTCAAAGCGACTTTTCATTTCAAAATTTAAGCTACTTATCGTAAAGAAATTAGTAAAAACAGGTCAAAATCGAAATGACACCTGTAGAAATTCTCCAAGTGAAATGTTTCCGTTGACTCGATCTGAGATTTTTTCCTCCCGGTTTGTGATCATTTTTGCAATTTTGATTTTCCATCCTAATTTGCGACAGGAAAATGTTTCAATGTTGTGAAAACATTCATCAGACACAAAAACCGTTTCCCACCCAGCGGTGTGCTGAGCACTTTCTGAATATCACAACCCTTTAACGCGTCTCAAGTTGAGCACGCAAAAGCAGTCCCGACTTTTGAGCATGCAGGCCCATGTCACTGAATCAGAGCTGTTCACTGTACTGACAAAAGGCAAGTGGTTTTCTGCTGTGATTATAGCCCGGGAGGTGGGGGTGGGGAGAAATGCACCTATAGGGAGCGTGAGCTGGAGTCTATTGTGCTTCTTATTTCATCAAGACAATTGTCAGCTAGATTTTGATCACAGAGCCTATTTCTGGTGGCAGAGCTGTTAGAGGTAGAAAGGATACAATTGCATTTTCAAAACCCTCCCTTGACTTTACGTAATGGGAAGTAAGCAAAATGACCTTTACAGGTGTAAATGTGTCTCTTTGGAGATGGGATTCTTTGAGAAAGCACCAAGAGGGTAGCCCCCCCGTAATTTTTATGCAGTCACTGTGCAGTTGGTCAGCAAAAAGCCCATGCATCACTGAAGCAGGCTAGCGAGGGAGTTAAGTGGCACAGAGGCCTTTTACTGGCCCTCTGGACAGGGGTGAATTTCACCCTTTGAAAATAGCAGCGGGCAAAAAATCACAGAGAGGGCCGTGCATGCAATACAGCATGACACTGGAAACCCTCAGCAGAGATCTTCTGCATTTCATTCTGAATTTCCGAGGAGGGTTTTGTGACGTTTGCCTCGCTTGGTTCAAATTGCAGGACTGTTTTTGAGTCAACATGCTTCCAGTTGTCTTGAAAAATTGTACAGATTTTGAGCACACACCTCTATATTTTGCAAATTTTCATTTGGATAATTATTTTTTTAATATTGAAACCTGCAAAAGGGCAAATGCTCAAAATCTTTCCCAGCAAAATTGGCCTTTTTACAAAAATGATGATGTTGCCCGGCTGTGGAATGTGCTGGAATAAAACTTCAAAGCCACTATTGCCCAAAATTCATGGGCAAATGCTCCATCTTTTTCAGAGGCTGCTAACCAGAACAGAGACAACCAACAGCTTCTGCGCTTCAATCCCTTTCCTGAGGTAGCAGCAAGTTCCGTAACCAAAAGCCCTGATTGCTCTTTAGACGTTGGATCACTGCGTGTTTGCACTATTCATGCGGAAAGAATGTGCCCATGGTCATGAAATGAATCGTGGGAAGGAATAAAGTTTCCCTGGACTGGACGAGCTGGTTCTGGACGATATCAGGTGTATTTTATAGAAGACACAAAGGCCTTGACTGAAAGCCCATTGGAATGACTCCCATTGACTTCAATGGGCTTTGGATCAGAGCCAAGAAAGAACATTAAGTTTAAGCCACTGTAAAGGAAGTTAGTGAATGTGAGAGCTGGCTGAATGGTAGAAGGACTGATTCACAGATATGTTAGATTCTGGTGGCTTCTGCAACAGAAGACAGAAAGTCCCGCTAGAAGGCCCCCAAGCTATTCAATGGGACATGGCTCCTGGGCATGGGACCTTATCCATGTCCTCCAGGATTTAGAACATTTCAGGGACATGACTGAAGCCCCATCTCCATGGCACAGTGCGGTCTTGCTGTAAGCGTGTTGGGGGACAAGAGTGCTTTGCCTGGATCCCCTGACTCACATCACTGTAATGCACACATGGATGTAGTCTCCCTCAGTAGATTGATACCATGAGGCTGAAGGCTCTTCTGCTTTCTACTGATAGCAAGGAGACCCACCCATCCCTCTGGTAGAGAAATTGCCCATGCAAACGGAGGCCCGAGGGTTGTTTGCTTCTGTGCAGTGTTCAGATGACGGTTACAGGTGGAGTGAGAGGCGAGGACAGGCCTGTATGCAAAGAGAGACGGGGCTGGGTAGGGAACATAGCCCAATGGGGGGATGCTGGGGCATTATAGGGAATTAGAGGCAGTTCAGAGCAAGTTGGTACCCTCCAGTGGCAAAGACATTTTGGTTTCCAGGAGAATCTTTATGAGCCAGGGGTAGGAACCATCAGTTCCTGGGCTTGGATAATTTAGCAGCATCCAAAGAGGGGCATGAACCCCACCAGATGGAGAACAATGCCCCCCACGCCTTCTAACATTGAGACACATAGGCTTTCAGAAAATAACAACCTGATTGGAAGCCAACTGACTTTGGATTGGGCCCTAAGTGCGGTTTTCTTTCTATATCCTAGCAACATTTCTGAGAAACTTTCTCATGTGCCCTTCTTTCTCTCTGATTATTGGACAGTTCACCACTTCACTCTGGAGATAGGAACCTTTCAGACAAGTTATGTTGGACCTTCTAGTGATCCGGGACAGGTTATTTATTTTTTATAGCCCACACAATATAAATCTTGCATAAAACAATGTGAAAAAATCCAGCCTCATTTCCCCTTCCACTTCCCCCAGACCCTTGCATTCTCTTCTGTTCTCCAAATCTAAAACCCAGCAGCCTGGCTGATCAAAATGACTTAAAGGAAAATGTGAAATAAATACAGAGTTCCTTCACAGATGTGTATAACTCTACTTTGAAAGGGAGGGGGAAATTGTCTACTCAGGTCAGAACCATTTCCTAGTGCTATTCTTTGGCACCCAGCTTAGAGTCCTGTATTCAATACTCCAGAGAAACTGAAGGTAAATTGCACTCACCTGCACAGCTCTCTGTCTGTCCCGATATTTCCTGCTTAATGAAAAAGCAGTCAGCTCCCCCAAAGCAGCCCTGTTTAAAGGCTATGCCATTGAATGACCTTCCCTGCAGAAGGAAGACAGGGAGAGAAAGGCAGCATGAGGTCTCCAGCTCATCTCCACGCAACAACCTCCCTTATTTTCTGCCCAGCACGGAAGGTGTGGGCCTGCAGGAAGTGTGCAAAGAGAAAAGAATTCTTCTTAGGCTGGTGAACCAGTATAAGAAGCCAGGGGGAGCAAGGGCAGGGCCTAACTTTCCCGGAGCTTCACCAGGAGCCAGGACGGCTGTGCAGCTAGGAGCAGGGAGCTAGCTTCCATCAAGCAAAAGGCTGTAACACCTCCGGACCAGGGGACAGCACCCTCACTGATGCCAAAGTGCCAAATCGGCAGCGTGTTCTCGGTCCTGTGTCCCGGATTCTGCCCAGTGCAGGCCCGGATTGCTGTGCCTAGCCACACAACATCCAGCGGGACAAGTAGGATGGAGGGCTTGATCTGGCACCGAGGCAGCCAGGTTGCTCCGGCTCCAGAGCAGAGGTCCCTAGGAAGGGAGCCCAGAGCTGAGCCCCCTCAACTGCCAGATGAGGATTGCCCTTCAACCTATGTCTCCTTGGACCCACCCCTCTGCCCCCTGTGCGCTGGAGAGGGGGGAAGCAGGGGATGGGCCAAGAAGCTGGGGACTTGCCGCTGCTCAGCGCGGCGGGGGGCTGAGCCCAGCAATTCACTTCAGTTGCACTAGCGCCCAACTATTCTATGCGCTGGGCTGCGTGCGGCCCACCGACGGGCAAGGGACAAAGCCTGCATGGGAGGCGAACGTAACACGCTGCCCTGGGTCATATCTCCCCTTAGCATCAGGCCCCAGCAGCTACAGAGCCTGCCTCTTACTGCCAGCCAAGGGAATTCTGCTGCGTGCAATTGGCAGGCGTCCTGTTTTCAACACAGGGGATTTGATCCCCACTGATGATTGCAACACCTGCCCGTGGCTCTGTCTACACTACTAATTGCCCTGGCCCAGATTTGAGCCAGCCAGAGTATAAAGAGCTGTGGTCGCAGTAACAGAGCCGCGACTGGGCCATGCGGAGTACCAACCCACGGGCGTGTACTCGGCCCCGCTCAGCCGTATCTCTGCTGCGGCTCCCTGCTAGTTACGCTAGCACGAGCGTGCTGAGGGCGAGCGTACGCACGTGTGCGTGAGCAGGGGAATCACACGCCGAGCTTGTAGCATGGCTGTGTCCTGTGTGCAGCTACAGTTCATCGCAAATCCAGTGGAGGCCTCAGCTGGGAAGGAAGCTGCCGCTCCTGGTAGAGTTATCGCATGCAGCTTGTCAAGGCCCCAGAGCGATCATGCCCAAAGCAACCGGCCATGTCTCTGCCACTCAGCGTCACCCTGCGGAGCACCTGAAAGCAGCTGGTGCACAAGGAGGCAGCTTGATTGCACAGCGGGCTTGGCCATGCCCCACCAGTATTAAATCTCTACAGCCCAATATGGTTCCAGTCCATGCTACCGGAGCAATACCTCTCCCCTTAGCCGATGCATTACAGCTAACTGCCCCTAGTGTTCAGCATCAGGAGGCCTGTTCAGTGGAGAGTCCTTGGCTCTGGAAATCTCTTCTTCCTTGGGCCTGGGTTTGTTGCCCTGTAGGTATCGTGTCCTCTCTGTGATCAGGCTTTTGCTATAGGCGTGGAGCAGTGGTTTGCTTATGCTCTTATTTACTGGGTGAGTCTACTTAGCCCATCGTTTTCATTATGGGCTGTGTCTTGTTTGTATGCCCAGATCTTGCGGTGGGTGTGTTTTAAATGCTGAAGAATAAAGGTGGGTAGAACTCTTGTAGCTGGATTGGCTGGGGCAGATTCTGATCCCAGTGTTGCCTGGGTATCCCTCTTGGGGAGGCTGGATTTCTGAGGATACTCAGTCCCAGGAGTAAGAGTCTCTCTGTGAACAACCTCAACTTGGGAGCCACAAATTCCATGCATTAATATCTTATAAGTAGAGATGGTCCAGAACCAACACTCTGGCCCTAAACATGCCTGCACATTGGCTCCTGACCCAGATTCAAATAAGCCTGTTGACTGGGGAGGTTTAAAGCTGGATCCAGATCCCATCTCTAATGATAACTAGTTATTCTGGCAGGGGAACTCATTTTATAAGGCCTCTTTTATTTAACAAGAGCCAGTGAGCAGCCTTGCGGAAATGTCTGGAAGGGAATGGAATGGCCCATGTTAGTGGACAATTGTAGCTAATCAGCATCTCTCTCCACATCCATGAGCTTCTAAACGCATCCTGGGAGAAGGGTCTTGAGGAAACAAAAGTAACAGCTAAAGGAAGATGTTGGTACCATTAGTTTCAACAGGAGTCGATGATACTCCGTACGATGAAGGGTTGGGCCTCTTGTTAATGACTTTTTTCCTACGGAGATCTGAGGTCTTAACCACAACAATGAATGGGAATGCCCTGCTTTTGTTTTTGCACACCCCATCCAGCACTGCGCAATTATTGTCGGTAGTGTGGCTGCTGTTTAGGAAACCCTAACATTGAAACATTGTCAGCTAGGAAACCCTCCAAGGCCCTCAGGCAACCCATGTGTCTCTGCAGCCATAACACCATATCAGTTCTGACACGTTCGGCTGGGATGGTGAACGCAGGTGCTCTAGGAAACAATGGTGGTGACTCACTACTGACTGGTTTCGTCATTCGCCTTGGACTTGCGCTGTTCAGAATGCCCTGGGGGGCAAAGCAGTGAAGAACTCTTTGCCACTGCAGGGGGTGGGTTGGCTGTGAAGCCGCTGCCCACTCCAGCCTGATTCAGAAAGAGATTTTCCTGCAGGGAATCTGATGCCTTCACTGGTCTCCTCACTAGAGCTGGGCGCGGAGCTGATTTTTTGGTTCAGAAAAAAACTGAAACAAAAATTCCATGAAGGTCGAAACTCAGCTGAAGCTTTCCAGAATTTTCAGTGAATTGAAAGAGTCCGGTTTGGGTCTGCTCTAGGGCGGGGATTCAAACGTGGGTCTCCCACATCCCCGATGAATGCACCAACGCCTGGGCGAAAGGGGTGCAGTCACAGCAGCACCAGCACCAGATACATTCAGCCTGCTCTAGCCATCACTGGTAACTTTGTCCTGAAATGACGTTCCCACGCCCAATCACAATGCAGTGTCTCCTTTTCCTCAAATTAAACAAAACAACCTCCTCCCCCAAACCCACAACAGGCTGAGTACATGTGTGCGAGATGGGGGAAACACTGTTCCCTCCACCAAATCTTTGCCATTTCATTTCAGACACCTTTCCATGAATGCTGGAAAATGGCCACTGGAGGGTGTAGGGGGGTGGCTAAAAATATGATCAAGTGGAAGTCACTTAAACAGGGTCCATTTCTGAGCAGAACCAATTCCTTCCTCCACCTCCTTGGACCGCCACGTAGACAGCCTGGGGTCATGCACACCCAATGGCAGTGGTCAGCAGTGCACGGGGAAGCAAACGGCACACCCGTGTTTTAGAAATCTGGATTCAGACCAGGATGCAGCAGAGACAATGGATGAGGGTCGTCCTGGAACTGCAGGACTTTCAATAGCAACTTCCGTCCTTGCTGTTTGCAGCTAGATGAGCAGAGGTCCGGTCCAGTTCTCAGTGAAGTCAATGAAAAGGCTCCCCTTTGTTTCAATGGGAGTTGGACCTGGTCCCAGATGAGCCTTAAGAAAGTGACCCGGTTCTAACGAGCGTCTGTTATGCCGGGGCCTAGATACCCTCCATCACATTATGACATTGCATCCGAGGGCATGTTTCTCAGCAGCTTGCTTTGTGCGTGTGGACAGCATGGCTTTGCGTGCCCATGGGACGGACAGTTGTGAGCGCCTGTGTGTGTGGTGGCAAGGGTGTGCACGGTGCGGTTGTGTGCGTGTTGTACGTGCCGGGCTGTTGTCCAATACCCCACCCGCCATTTCTTTGCGGGAAGAATTTTTATTCACAGACAGACGATGTCTCCATCCTGCCACCCCTTTAAAAAAACAGGTCTCATGAAGAATCTTGAGTTCCTCTCCAGGAAGAAACAACTTCCCGCATGGGGCTGATTCATTTCTGAGTGGGGCGGCTCTCAGCCTGGAGCTTCTCAAGCGTGCTTTGCACCGGAGCAGCGAGCGACGTGCATATCTGAACAGACACAGGTTGGGGGTGGGGATCCCTCACAGTTCACCTGCGTGTTTACCTTGACACTCAGAAACACCCCTCAAAGAAGCAGGAGCGGGGCCTCCCACACGTGCCCAGGATTCCTTGTTCTAACATGCAATGGGGGTGAGCCTCTCCTTAGAAATGCAGGGTGTTTTCCCTGGCCGCAGGCCACCTCTTGCTGCACTTCGATGGCCAGTCTTCTCAGTTCAGCTCGGCTTTTTTTGTCATGCTGCAGAAATTGACCAAACTAGGGATATTTTGTGTGTGCATGCCATGGGCGTAGTTTGGGGGGGTGGCAGGAGGGGCATTGCCCCCCAAACTGCAAGCCTGGGGCAGGCACAGAATTTGCCCCCTCCCACACATGCGTGACAGGTTCTTCAGAGAGTTTTTTGTGGCAGGAATTCACAGTGGGGGAGTGTAGGAAAGGAGCTACCTGAATGGGTGCCAAGCATTATAAAGAGTTCTGTGGGGACTCGTGCTTAAGGGTCAGGTAAAGGGGAACGTGCAGAAAAGAGAGAAGAAGGGAGACACAATAGCAGATTCCTGAGAGCCAAGAAGTAGAATCATTGAATAGAGATGGGCAAAGGGACCCAACCCCGAACTTAGCATCTGGCCATGTTCAGACACAAACATGACACCCAGGTCTCATCCAATGCCCCCAAATTGCAAGAAAACATACGGGGCCCTATTCTCCCAATGCCTCAGACAGAAACATCTGGCCCTATGATACCTTCTATGGTACCTTTCATGCAGGGCCTCAAAGCACTTTGCAAGTACATAGAGGGATCATTCCTTTGCCACCTCTAACATGCAGCCAGCACTGGGGTGGGGCACCGCCATCATTCTGAGCCATCAGCCCTACACTAGGAAAAAAAGTGACGAAGAAAACTGTGTCCACTTGAAAATGCATGGGGAAACAGGTCAGCCAAACATGCCTGCCTAGGTTAAAATTGGGGCAGGACCCTGGCATGACCACCATTGGTCTTAACAAAACCAGCAT